TGTGTCGGTAGCGTTGAATCAACCCTTGTTGTACAGAAAGGATATAAAACGATTACATATCATTAGTGTAATACAAGCTGGAGTGAGGTTCATAAAAATGAGATGGAATTAAAATATATCTGATTTTCTGTAGGTCATAGACTCCCCCAGATTATACTGAAAAACTTTTTTATGAGGATTAATATCGGCTAATTAAAAGTCAACCACCTCCAGTTTTGTATTTGACATAATTCAATGTAGATATCTCAATCGGAAATACACATATTGCATACCGATAAGCTATCTGATGGAGATTTTCAATTGCATAACAGCATGCGTATATCTTAAAAACAAAATTGAATTATACGTGAAAAAAATAACGGAGGACCCACAAGAATAGAAATGGAACGTCAGTTGAAAGAAGCATCAAAACAAAAGGGAAAGCAACCTGAACCCCTACGAAAATGAAGTCGCACGCCGTGTTATCCAGAATAGTGGGCGGCCACCTTCTAAACATTCTAAGTCAAAAACTCTCTCTTTGAATTGTCTATTAAAATGTATAACCTATTTTTGAAAGTTGTATTTGATATTACTTTGATATAATTTTATTTCTGATGAAAGCATATAAGTGATACAATATTATAACAATATATCTAAGTTAGCACACACCTGGCCTACTTGGCTTCTTAAGTACGCATATCCAACATAATATTATTTGGTCATGAGGACGCGGTACGTATTTTTCTTAACTGACAAAATGGGTCAGTGTGACTGGTGTTATGTATTCCGAGTTTAATGTCTTCTCACAATACCTACTTAAAATTATAAAAAGGTGTTTGGCCAAAATTGATGTGTATCTCTTGCACAGTATTACGTTTGATCTTTGATATTGAAAGGTCGTTCACTTGATACTCATCCAAGACCCACATGGATGTACCTAAGCTGTCAACATGACCGTTAAAGTTTGCAGGTCAAGTTGAGCCATCAGTTTTTATCGGGGTTGACACCATACAAAGCACTTCAATGTAATAACGACTCAGCTTTTCAACACACACAGCCGGCTCAGATCTCATTGAAGTCGGAGTAAACACACACAACGTAATGGTAATTAATTCTGAATGCTCCCGTTTGGAGTTGTATTTTATATTCCTTTTGACCACATTTAGTGGCTCGGCCGAAGAGAATGGGATATACTTAAACACAAAAGTATGCTATGTAACTGCGACGTTAGGGCAAAATTACAATAAACATTACTGCGAGTTGGACACTATTTGGTGTCCTAGCATAACTTAACACTTCAAGAAGGAAAATAATGTCAAACACAATTATCACATACTTCTTCAAGTTCTTGTAAAGTGAAAGGGACTTGATGGTAAATAGAGGTTTATCGGAGATAACTTTCAAAACGATGTGTTAAATGATATTTGGTATTTGATAGATTCAATTAGATTCTTGAGTTTTGATAAAAACATTTTCATTTTGTTTTACAAACGGGGAGTTTGGCGTTGCAGTGATTACTGTAATTCGTTTTGAATTGCTGACAGAGATTTTTCTTTGAGACAGTAAGCACCAATGGTACACCCAGTGTTTATTTCGTCATAGTGACGATAATTCATGCTTAAGTGAAGATGCATTGGCATATCCATAGCCTTTGTAATTACGTCAGTGTTATTGATATCAAGCATCAACATTAAAGCAAGACTTTATCAAGTTCCTTGTTTTCCGTACAAACGATATTTACACATCGGTGTTGGTTCGATATTAATGGGCTCGCTCCATATGTGTGTTGCTTTTCATGATAAATGTCAAATGATGATAGGACAACCTATAAAAAGTGGTTTCAAAAGAAAAAAGCTAATGAAAACTATTTCAATGTCGATATCATGATCGGAACTATCTTATTTTCATGTGCGAAAATTGACATTGCATTGTCACTTTCCCGGTTCTCATTTTTAGTACATGACATTACCTGTATTTGATTGACGGTGGAAGACAGAAGACGCTTACTTTTCTCGAACACCTGGTCTGTCTTACTCTATTTATACCTTTTTAAGAGTTCTTATGTTGATCTTTTTGTTTAATTTCTATTTTTCCATAGTTTCATTGGTTCTGGGTCTCTTGTTTTCATTCCAATTTCATATTTGTTATGGCGTTTTATCGTCACCAAAGGCCATTACACATCATTAATATGTTTATAGTTTCCTATTTTTCAATTTTAATTCAAATTTTAGTTTTGTTAGTATACCTGTTGTGCCTAACAACTACCTGTTGTGCCTAACAACAAGCTTGTCAATTATGAAAACTACTATTTGACGATATTTTGGCGATTACACAATATTTAACAGCATTTGAGAAACCTTTGAGAACCGATTGGTTAATTTAGAATGAAAGACACTCTAAGAACTTAATACGAAACTGATATTGTATTTGTTTCTGTCTTCTTTGAAAAATGTTGACTTTTAATTGAGTCATATAAAAATGAAAAACTAAAGAATAAAAAGAGAGAAAAAAAGGTTGAATAATTGATTCATATTTATTTTATTTCAATAAGACTCTGCCTCACAACATCATTTTTCATCAGCTTTCCTTTTCGGTCAGCACGTAGCAGTAACGTTTACTACATTTATATTTCAATGTGTTCTTCCGCCATTTTTTCTAACGAAAGAACACAGCTGCATGACTGACTAAATGGTTCACTTGAAATTAAATAATATTCCAATATGTTGTTTATCGGTAATGATATATATAGACAGGAAAGACCTAACGGACATCACTTCAGGCAAAACAACACTGGAGTTTACAAAAACGTATATAGTCAATTTCTATAATGCCCAGGTATTGATATTGTATTCATGCGCGAGAGCGTAAGGTCAACATATGACGTGTGCGGTGATCATCAACCATTTACCTCGCCGTGATGGAACAGTGGTAACTGAAACTCGCCTCATTGTATTCTGTACATTATCAACACGCTCCCGTTGTATTCTGTGATGTTAGACAGGCCAGTTCGTTTAATTAATTGTTTTGAACCATTGATTCCCTCCAAATATCAATATCGTTTGTGTGTTCACACTATTCTGTCACGGTATCCGTCGATTCTATATCTGATCTTCCAGGATTTCACCATTGCCATTTTTTCGATTTTTGTTTTTATTGTCATAATGCGAGTTATTTTTAATGTTTTCTCATCGACTTGCCTGTTTGACATTCTTATATTATTGATAAAGCAAACAGAGTTTTAACATTACATCTATAAATACAAGCCAAATCCCTATCAGATAAAATTTCCTTTGATTGTAGCATACCATAGTTTTATCAATTTTGAATTCCAATTACTGTTCTTTTTACGCTTCTAATTATTCCTAGTTAACTATTTACCTGTTTTACATTAAAATAATACGTCAATTTTAGATTTGATTAGACATTAAAATAGCCCGTTTATAGTCTTCATCGAGTTTACTCAATATATATTAATTTTGGCAGAATTTTGTTAAAGCAATGGCGAGTCACCATTCGTTATTGAATATTCCAAAACACAATTCACACATTAAAGCCAAATTGCATTCCTGTTGATAAATAGCCTGTGCGATTTGTATTTCTGGAAGAAGAATACCCCACTTCCAGATTCAGAGGATGCGTTCGATAAGGCGTCTTCCACTTTCAGAAGTCTTTGGTCGTCTTCCACTCGAAAGTTGGAAGAAGTTATAAGCAAGATAGCGGGTAAGAACGTTGCTGTCAATAATTGACAAATTCATTGGCTGGTAGATGTTTAACAAAAGCATGCACAATTAAATCGATTTGGATTTTTCTTCTGCCAGGAAGATGAATTTAGAAGCATTTTTTGCAGATCTCTTTATTGCGTTTTACACTTTACTACTGTTCCAGTGTAATCTGCTTTGTTCTACTGTGATATTAGAACTAGAACGGGTATTGTAATTTTAATGGAAATAAGTGCCTGTAGCATTGGTTTACTCCTTGGGTTTTGAAGAGATGAGAGGGATTTGAATTATTAGCCTCTGAAATGTATATTGAAATCATGGATTGTAAACATGATGTACAGTTATATATAGAAATATGAAATTACCATATCCCTTAATATCATATAATTATATATTGGTCGTGTGGCGCAGTGGATAGTGCACTTGCCTTTCACGAAGGCGGCAGGGGTTCGATTCCCAGATCGAACGTGAAAAGGTATGGGGTCACCTGCCCGACCACGTCGGTTTTCGACCGTGGTAAATAACAAATCAATGTACCCTTAACTATATAGATTGAGAGCCAAATGACGATAAGAATAACATGAAAATTGTCACCAATGCGTGGATATACGAGTACGATTATATACTCTTTTACAGTAAATGGCACCTCCATTGACACCAGGTCAAGGATCATTGATAGAAAAATAGACGATTTCATTTGTATCATCATCCAATACTTCATCCATATAAAGTCTATCGGTATTGTTTACATTGGCAACCCTTATATTCACTGATAGACAACAATTAATTCGTGCCGTCGATACACATCTCCTGACAGAGCACGACGATACTGCATCACAAATACAATGTCTAGCTTGTGTGTGTCTAATGTAACAGATACCGACTGCATATAGTAATAGTGGAAAGGAAAATAAGAGAGAAGGAAATAAAAGTCACCTTATTCAATACCCACATAGAAAGGACATATGAAAGGAGAGACAGACATGGAACAAATGATTTAATTGATTTTACAATTAACGCTTTTACCATCATATTTGAATAGACAACATTTTCCATCACAGGAATTTGCACATTGATATACGAATTGGATGTTTCTATACGGGGATCTCCCACCTGTGAATAAATGTTTAACAATCTTCTGTTAATATGTATTGTAGTACACAGCGATGCGACGGCTCTCAACGTTGCTTGTTTATGCACGAATGTTTGCTGAACGGGTTTGTAAAATATTGACTTAAACCATCGGCCTATTGGAGCTTGGTCGCTATAGCTTTATTTACCTCCTCTTCGTAGAGAGCTCTATTAGCCTCTGAGCCGCTAAAACCAGCTCACATGGACGTAGGAGATTGTGAAAGTTTGATTTAAATTGCGATGATGACGTCCATTTGTGAAGAGGTTAGTATCCAGCGCTGAATATATAACGGTTTCCTGTAATACAAGAAGGTTACCGTATTGTTATACTTTTATTTTGTATTCAAGTGAAATATCGGCACGGAAAAGTAAAGCTTAAATCTGAGTGATGTATTATTCGATCTACATTTAACTCTTCAATGATACTCGGAGAGTCACAATACGGGAGGCGGGACAGATCGGCGGGGTTCCAGTGCTAGTTCAGTGACAGCCGATACTCTGTAATTCTAGTTTGAAGGAAAGGTAATATATTTTAACCGTATGTATCGTCAATCACTGCTAGTGAATTTCACTGGATATGTGTAATTTCTACAGCGTAAACGGTATTTGTAAGTTCACTTGTAACTTTAGGATATATAAATACAGGACAGCTTCTGATACTCTACATTGGTGGTAGAGATCTGCTATTAGGATATGCTCAACCTAGAACAACATACCACAAGGTACATCATTATAGAAATTCACGATTTGAATTAAAGATGTTTTGAACTTGTAGTGGCTGATTTTTTCTAAACAAAAATGGTTTGGTAATTGTATTATTACACATGTTTTGCGTTAGTCAAGGATATGTCTAAGGAATCGTACCTAATATATATATATATGTATTTCTATATTTGTTGTAGGTTCTTATGGAACAATATAAATCTGATGTACCGGAAGTTAAAGGCTGTTGACAAACCGTCATATGCATTGGCACACAAACTATCTAAACACCGCATTGTTAGATGTTTCATTGACAACGGCGTAAGTTTGTATATAAATCATAGGCTACAAACGGCTACGAACTGTTTGATTATTCTATGAGGCTGTTTTTTTATAGAACTATAGTGGTGCCATAGGAATGTTGTCCATAATTGAACGTGAATGAAGAGGAAGCGAATCTATACAGAGATCCGTCTTAGAAAGCAAATAGAATTCGACGAAAGTTTCACCTGTACATTGTAGGAGCCAAGGATCGTTTATCTTGATCATCGAGAGGATATCGGACGGATTTAAAATCCACAACGGTAAAGACCAGACTATGCCAGTTTTAATAACATAAAACTATGTTTTATTGATGTACGTAAAGTAATAAAGACAATGCGTTGTGGGTCGTGAAAGACTTACAAAAAGCCATCTACAGGACTGACAATATGGGCAGTACTCAGTATGAGAAAGTTGTGGCGGTTATCTCGAAGAGACCCGAACTTCGACAGGACTTCGAGATACAAGGGCTGCTGCTATGGCTTCGGAAGAAATCTCAGTTATTTTCGCAACTGAAGACAGGTAAATGTATAATCATCTTACTTTAGATCACCTTTATTTAGAATTCCTTAGAAATCGTCCTAAAGTTATTTAATTGTTAAAAGGATGTTATGTTATGGAAGTATTTATATTTTATTTTCATTATTTCATTATCGACATTACGTCGAGGAAAATCTGTAAGGATACGCGCCCTGAAGACAAGAATGAATTTGTTAATAAACTATTGTAATAAAATTGACCCATCGCAACTGTTGACTCGTATACATGTTTACAATGGAATTGTGATTCTCCCCGTGCGTTGTTGATGTGATTGACAATACTAGGATGGGGTCGTTATCTGACAAAAATGGGTACGCTAACTATGCAGCTATCCGATATCATGGTTACCTTGGGATTATCAGACATTGCATAGTTGTAGAGAATTCATTATAAGATTAGAAAATCAAAGATGATATACGCAAAACTAAACAACATTGTATTATTATACAAAGCAATTCAGAAAATGTCACTGTTTAGTTTTTAATATACGTCAACATCATACATTATATACCGTGAAGCGAAAATATAGGTTTTGCCGAGCAAATACAGATTTTAAATTTTTAAACAGGGGTAAATATTCTCTTCCTTGCGGCAATTAGTTGCAGAGAGAACAGATCTTTGACCTATATAAACATCACTGTACTGTTGAGGAGTGGCCGGGAACATGACCGTCCACATTATCACCATTTACAATGGAGAGCTATTACACAAGATAGGAATGTAAAGCTAGAACCTTAGTTTTGATATGATATTAGTGTTCATCAAAACAAATACATAAGAAATTGTTTTCTTGAAATTTTGATATCATTGTTTGTTCGAAACGTATTTTAGATTAACAAAATATATTTTAAAAGATAACAACAAAATTGTGATTTTCAGTAATATAGTAAAGAGACGTACATTTTTGATAAATGCAAGCTTACAAAATGACATGGCAGAGACACTTAATGGAATAGAGATGTTTGTGACTACTTATGATAAGTAAAGTGAGACAGGGGCTTAAGATAATATGTTTGAATGGTCAAGTTTGTAAATAATTCAAACACGGTAGATACGATTAAAGGTGGATGTTTGAAGGTAATTGAGATAAAAATGACTGGGTTTAAAGCTGGATAAATTGTTTGTTTAAAAATATTAATATATACACGAAAACGACCTGAAAGATAACTACCTAGGTGATATGAATGTATATGGAATCGGCATTGAAATCGAATAATCTAGTTTGCTACACAAGCTGTGCGTTTTTAAAGGCTCTAAAATATGATATAAACCATGTCATTTGTTCTAAATTTGTTTATTCAAAACACCATATTTATGGTCTAAAAATGTAAAACATAAGTTAACCCATATTTCAGATTGACGTTATATAAAATGTCGTATAATTAAATGGCAAGATTTCAAATACACGGTGTACTTTAGCGACACTTTTTAATGCTGGGTTCACATGCCTTAACGAAGGCAATGAATTGCTTGACAACAAAGGTAGATTGTTGACTTATCATACAGGTGAGAATTTGTTTTGTTGCCGGTATGTCCCTTCAAAATGACAAAATATGTTAATTTTCTCACGAGTCTTTTCAGTTAATCACCTGTGCCAGCAAAACCCCGTAATCGTGTTACATGCACGCCGCACTTTCATCTGTTTGCTCAGAATTAAAACTCATGCAAGTTTCACCTGGGGACAAATTTATTTTGTAATAATGTCCGGTATTCCGTGAAATGAATGGCATAGTGCGTTATTTTATGTGAAAAAAATGACACATCTAAGAATGTTCAGTGTAAATGTAATAATTCTTTCTGGGGAAATAGCAATAAGGATGCAAGCTTTACATGACATAGGTTTTGATATATAGGCCACTTTGTGAATGAAAAGCAATCCATCAATATGGTATTATCGTATTTGCGGTACAAGTTTCTTTTAAAGGTATGTTTACAAACATCTCGTCTCCGTCTCTCATATGATAACTGGGGTCGGCTTTGTGAAGTGGTGGATAACATATTTTACTGTAGGAATACCAGGGGAATAATATATATGGGAATTACAATCATTACCCCTCTCATATGACGAAAGAGTACAAGATGACTTATCCCGAATCAAGTTTCAATATTCAACTGATTCTGAACAACGGATCTGTTATATTTCTTGTTAATGAGACACGTGTCTCCTGTAGTTATCGCCGTACATGGTATATAATTAAGATGACATAGCTGATATCAATCAAATATATCGCAATTAGTTTTAAGTTGCCTCGTTTATAATTAATTGAAAAGGAAACTGGTTTGATACATAAAGTTAATAAAAATGTTCCTTTACGTTGAGGTGAATCTTTACACTGTCACCACGTTTAAACGCTTTTAACAAAATGGCGCTGGACTCACCCTTTCTCGTCCTCTCATTTTACGACGCACAAATAGTGCATACACCCTTACAGGTGAGGTATGTAGTTATTTGTAGTATCTAGGTATACCTATAAATGGTGCACCTCATGTTTGCTGTGTGCTACTTGATGATCTCGGGAATATTTCGAACCTCATAAATTGGTTGTTCGGTACTCTGTAGGTCCATAAATGCTGTCGATTGATATGTGGTATTAGGCTCTGTATAAATATGTGTACAAATGTTTCATCTATGTTGGCTGTGTAATACTTTGTAGACCATATGTGGAGCCTAATCAGGTAATATGGTACTTTGTAGACCATAGGTTGAGCCTAATAAGATCATGTGGTACTTTGTAGACCATAGGCTGAGCCTAATTAGGGAATTTGGTACTTTGTAGACCATAGGTGGAGCCTAATTAGGTAATGATGTACTTTGTAGACCCTAGGTGGAGCCTAATTAGGTCATGTGGTACTGAATAGACACACGTGATGCCTTCTTAGATGGGTTGTACGATAATAGAAAAATCGACAAATGTTGATCAGGCTGCAACATATTTGATATTGGTATTGGCAGTGAAATGAAGAGAGTTTTCTATGGTATTTTTCATACATACCAGTGGTTCCCCTAACAGAAAGGATATATATTACTATGTGTACCCGCGAGTGGTGCCCTCTCAGGCGTGTTGTATAATGCTATGTAGATTTGTCTCTTGGTTAAGTTAATAAAACATAAAATCTAGACCTACCCGTGTTTGAGTAAAGGGTCCCTTGTATAAACAGATTGAGTTTACTTCAGGTAAATACACCAGCGAAAGTAGTTGAACGGGTCTGTATGTTTACAACACAAACCTCAGTTAAAGGGTTGTCTGTTTATTCACTATATAACGGTATTCATATTAAGCATATCGGTTTTGATAAGCTACACACTACATGGGAAACATTCAACAACTATTCTCAACAATATTACATGTACCATGTTTTATTTACTTTTATGTGAAAAAATAAAATACATATTATCCTTTTTACAAAGTAATTGTTAATCGAACTGTCCCCAAATTTTTATTTTGTAAACTATCATTGCATCATATTAAGATTTCTGGTTAATTAACTAGCGTTAGCTCAATAAAATTATTGGACCCCACCACTTTAAAGTATACAAATGTATCGTGTTTACATTTTATACATAAGAAGGACAGCGTGGTCTCAACGCCTTAGGCTGTATCTCGTTCAAAGAGGGTTTTATTTGACTTATATTACATGTTGATTACGGTGTAAAAACTTCCAATGAAAAGATTAAAAGAGTTGTAAGGCATAAAAAGTGAAGTGTCCAGCCGTGATTAAAGGTAAAGGTGTACTCTGTGTGTGCCGGGTGGTAGGTGTCCCAGGAGGGTAGGGGTGACAGCTCAGTAAGGGATTTCTCACGTCAGGTGATGCTGTTCTGGGTTGTTCTTTGAACGATTATACAGAGTAAAGTAATGTTTTATTTCGTTTAACTTTGTGACTCAGCAATTCTCTTATTTGAAAAAAAACTATCAATGTATTCTTATTCAAAACCATATACCTATTAGTTAATTTGGAAGGAGGACCGCGATGCACTTTCGTACTAAAAATATTATACTTATGGATAATGTATTTTCAGTACGTACGGGGACATATTGAATATTCCCATAACGTAAAGGCATTGGTGGCAGTAGTTTGGGTTCGTAGAGTTACTGGTAGGTAGTTTGCGGGCACTGGTAGTTTATATTTTCTGTACTTGCGGATATTATTGGGTTCTTCAGCATATACGGGCACTGATAAATATTATTTTCAGTAGTTATGGGTACTGGTGGTAAGTTAGTATTCAGAACGAGTAGATTGTATTAACAGTACGTTTCTCTTCAACAACTTGTCTATACATAAAATCTTATCGACATTGATTCACGTCCCACGTGTGCCCTGGAAGGTCAAGTGAGACAAACGGAACTTGCCTTTTGGCCATCTTTCTGCTGATTGGTGTTGTACAGGAGACAAAGACATCTAAAGAATAGGAAGGTTTCTCCAATACATATTCAATAATTTAATACAAAGCTAGCAGAAATCTCTATAGATTTGTTTGCTTCAAATGACAAAGTCATTGACAGTTTACAACCCACATACCAGTACATGCATATGTTTTTCAATAGGCAAACCTCTAATCAACATTTTTCGTACATAAACCCAGACCAGTCCAATAACCGAGGGAATAAACCAATCACTCTACATATTGCAGATTAAGATATTCTTTTAATCTAGTTCTATGTCAACTTGCTATACATCAAACAAATAGCTTTGAGTTAAAGTCGGAATATATATGCAATCGTTATTGTCTAAAGTCTGCCAGGAAGAGGTGATAGAGGACACTTTGTATTTGCCTTTCCCGTTTATCTATCCGACCGTTCGTCTGTGATTGTGTCCTTCAGACGGTTGATGTTATAACCCCTGTATCTCTCAGCTAATGGTTGGAATATAACATGACTAGTCACAGTTGTTCGCCAGGACACCGGGTATACAAACAAAGGCTGTAGAAAGAAAATGACATAAAAAAATGTCACAGGTTTTTGGGAGTAGTAGAATACTTAAAA